AAAAAAAGGCACAATGCGTAAAACACTGTTCACTTTCAGGGGAAAGGATCCGGTCACTTGCTATGATCTCTCGATCTAGAATCTAGACCAACCCTCTCACTTTATCCTATAGACGTGGTGGCAGGGCCAGGGCTAAATAGGACTCTTCCAAGGCAGGACACTACACACAAACTCCCAAAGCCTAAGGGAACTCCAGCGGCAGGCCATCATCTCTGACCAGAGCACAGAAGACACCAGCAGCCCCCTAACAGAGTAAAACCTGCACACCGAGGTGGCCCAGGACGAGCAGCCAGAAAGCCGAAGCCTGGGCCAGGACTTTAGGCGCTGAAGGAGCAAGGGCTTCCAAAGCCACACTCCTTCGGGACCTCAGGAGGCCACGGCCCTGGGCCTTTACTTCCACAGCAGGCCGTGCGAGGAGGTTCGTGGGCAGCCGGGGGCGCCAGACCCCCCAGAACGGAGAGCCTCCCGGAGAGGGCAGACGGCTCGCCCACGCCCGTCGCCTCCGCTAGTCACAAAGGATTCATCCCCAAGCCCACCAAGAGATAGATGCTCACCTGCCCGGCAAACTCTCAGACGCCAGCGACACGTAGCACAAAAGCGGACTGACCAAGGACGGCCGGAACCGGAAACCGAGTCTCTGGCCTATGGCCCGCCCACTCCCCCGTTCATTGGTCCTTTACGCAGAAACATCAGTGCGCAAGCGCAGCTCGCTGGGCAGTTTGGACACGCATCCCGGAAGAAGTGCGCTGCGGGGTAGCTGACGTGAGCGGTTTGGGAGTTTGGCTTTCTTTTCTGCAGTTTGAGTGTGGCGTCTGCCGGGTTCTTCCCTGGCTAACTCCCCTGTTCCCCCAGCAGGCCGATCTCACCCTATTCGCGTTCACAGCAAGAGGCCCCTTCGGCCTTGCGCGGTACCTGTTCTATTACACACGAATTGGGTAAATCTCTGCTAAATGGATTCCATTTGAGGGGATGATTTCTGATAGAAGTTTCTGTTTTATGCAGTTCATCTTGGTCGTGTATCTCCTGACTGTCCATACTTTCTGGATGCATTTAATTTTATTGGTCAAAATGAAGCTTATAAACAAAACAATCATATGACCGACCTAGCTCGAAATGGTCTCCAACCCCCAAAGCTGGCTTTCCTCTGGTTATCAGTCTTGGGACTATATCTAGAATTGAATCCATCATTAGGTGTACTCTAGGTTTGATTTGGTTTGGAGAAGTGGTTATAATGTATGTATGGTATCTGACTAGGCTTTTCTGAAAATACTATGAACTCAGATATTTGGTGGTAACAGATGAGCTTGTCAACTTGTGATTTTGTATTTAGAATGAATCATTATTTGGACAGTTATTTGAGCACCTATAAACAATTATTGAGTACTGTGTAATTACTGTGGTCTAGTTAAGGGAATTTACAGTGCAAGGAGAAAGACAAGGTATAAGTTAGTATAAATGCTATAGAACAAATAAAGACGGGGCGATGTTGTGAAGAGAAAAACAGAGAGAAAAGATGGTAGGATAAAGACAGAATTCCCTTAGATGGCCACTGTAAGGATACTAAGGAGATGATACGTGGGCTGAAATCTTAAGGATGAAGAATTATTCAGACACACCCAGGTCTGTTCAGAATTTAAAAATGACTGTTAGGCTAAGGCAAAGTATCCATATGAACTTTGTCACATGTATGAACCACCTGTAATGCAGTGTATGGAGAAGGTTTTAAATACTTAGGCTTATGACCTGTAACCCATTGAATCAGTATCTGGAGGTTTAGGGATTAAAAATCTGTATTTAAGGGGCATTGGGTGACGCGGTTGGTTAAGTGTCCGACTTCCACTCAGGTCATGATCTCAAGGTTTGTGAGTTTGAGCCACCCCTCAGGCTCTGTGCTGACAGCTCAGAGCCTGGAGCCTTCTTTGGATTCTGTGTCTCCCTCTTTCTCTGCCCTGCCCCCACTCATGCTCTTTCTCAAAAATAAATAAACATTAAAAAATTTTTTTAATCTATATTTAAAAGAAAAATTATTAGGAGATTTTAGGTACTGAAGTTTCTAGCACTGATAATTTTAGCACCCCTCTGAATTCAATATTCTGTCAGCTGCTCCTGAGTTATATTTATTTCTCAGGCACCAAGGTACCCTTACCCTGCTCCACTGTTAGGATAAGAGAGCTAAGAGGTGGCACAGACCTTGGGGCTCTGAAAACTGTCTTACTCTGCTTCACTTCCAACACATCCTGTAGTCAAATGTCCTATGAAACAAGTATCAACAGACTGCAGTATTTTGCTTTGACATGGGACAAAAATCATAATCATGTATCATCATATTTGGAAAACCTAGGATCTTACCTAGAAGGAAAGTGCCGCCCATCACCCGAACAAATGTATATAACAGACCACTGAGCATTATGGACCACCACATTGAACCATTCAGTTTTTGATATCT